CACTACTGAGTGGTAGAAAAAAAAAATAAGAATCTTAATTAGCAAAATTGCGATGGTCGGGAGTGGTAAACTTTCACTGTATGCAAATGGTCTTGTGATGAGCATGCGATTTATTTTCGGCGATGATTGAAATGACGTGTCATCTAAATCACTTTTTTGATATCTGGCAATGATGTAATTTCTCTGGAATCAAGGTCCTTGAATTTCATGTATTTATACACGCGTATAGCCTGCTACTGGAGAGGTATTTCTGGTCGTCGCTAACACGCGTACTAAATCAATTCAGAAACAACAAAAAGTATCGACGTCGATAAAGTAGGAAGTAAAAAACCTTTAGCGAGTAAATCATGTTTCTTGTAGAACAAGAATCGTCGAAAGGCGATTTTTAACTGGGCTGCAAAGGGGCTATTTTTTTCTGAGGGGAGGGGGCGGCTATACACACTCAGGCTACCATAAAACCTTGTCGGCAACCATTGCATGCAACAGAATCTCATGTGAGACTGAAACATAAACTCATTCAGAACATTGTATCCTTTTGAAAGACTTTCGTAACCAAAAAAAAGAGTACCATTTTTAAGTGGGGGCTGTATAATAACTTTTAAATTCCACCATTATGAATAAAAATAAACAAGTTAGCCATTAATTCTAAACAGGAAACAATTTGCATTATTTCCACGCACCCCTCCCCCAATCCCTCAATGCCCCAAAATATAGCGTGACAGTATAACGTGACTAATTTGACGTAACCGGAAATTCCAAAAATTGTTGTCCTTCTACGAGCATAAAATGCGAGACTGAGCTGATTTACACTAGATAGAAATATTGCATTGTATGAAAACCAGAAGTATACTAAAACAGACAGTTAACTGCCAATTGATCCCGCCTGATCCAGGGGCCTCACTGACTGCACGGAGACTTTACTGCGCTTTTCACAAACATGCGAACTGTAAAGCTCAAAAGCCACCTTCACCTTGTGTTTATCGCTGCCGTCAATCATAATTACGATCACAAGCAACGAACCTTGAAACAGAGAAACACACAAAACGGATCGAAATCCACAAATCACAAACCATGACCTTTTGAACCCCTGAAGTATTTGTTTCCTAAGAGGTCCGTTAAGATGATTGACAGCAGCGAAAAACGCAATCGTCGGTTGGGTTCTGAACTTCAGAATTCGCATGTTTGTGAAAAGTGCGATCCTAATTTGCGGTCCACAGTCTACCTGAAAACACACTATTTTTTCCACAAGATGAAAAGTATTCAGTTTTAAGATTTTCCTCACGGTATTTTTCTCTAAGTTAAAGGAATAAAATCCTTTGCATTTTGAGACCTAAAAAAGTTTAAAGATTTCTCGCTCGCTTGTTGCATTCACCAGCACGCAATTCAAACAATGTAAATAGATGAAACGATCGATAACACCTCACACTGACTGTGTTCGTTCGTATTCAAAACACCTTTACGAAAATAAAGGTCGTATAAGTCATGTGTGTTATGTTTCGAGATAAATGGATTATACGCTTTTTTAAGTTTCCATTTTGCGGTGACTTCAGTTTACATCTCCATAAAATGGTAAAAGAAATATCAAGAAACATCACGAGAGCTGAAAATTTTCAAAGGCATGTTTCTGAAACTCGCTAATGATGACATCAATATAGCGTGCTTGCTGAATGGGCGAAACACAGAATTGTGATCACAAGATCTTGTACAAATTTAATGACAAAAGCGTAGCAAGATACAGATACAAACAAAAGCAAACCTCCTGAAACCTCGACGTGGGCTACACTTGTATGCTCTACTCAGTCACCAAACCTTGTCAGTAATAGCTCCTATTTTCCTCAAGTCGCTCTCTGTGAAGCTCCCAGATGGGATGTCCCAGAGAAGCTTTAAACTTGTGTGCGAAATTCTCAGAGTTCCTATTTTTGTCCGTGTCTTCTTTATCATCAGTATCCGAAATTTAGATCTCCAAAGTGGCGTGTGTTGCATTAAATAGAAGGAAATATTTAAAGGAAAAGCCAGTCTTCTAACATCGCAAAGTTGTCACTTCCCTCGCTTATGGACGTGCGTCACATCAGGATTCATCTGCCATTCATCGGCAACTGAGTTGTTCGCTTCACTGACTATGACGGCTTACAATCAAGTCTTCAGCCATAGTGTCGTCAACTGGTGAAATACTTTGCTCATAAATTGTGCTTCTTAATTGCTCATGTACCACTGATGTACTACATCGATCGATAGTTCACGAAGCAGCCACGGCGTTCCAAACTTGACGCTCACAGTCATCTTTTCAGTCTTTTAGTGTGAACCTACCGTGAACGGCGTGTCGGTTTGAATGCAACGCGAGCATTTCTCTGAGTTTCCCAGCGCCAACATCATCTAACTGACTTAAACTCGAACAATAGAGTTACTCCCATGGTCGAATCGCTTCGAACAACGCAAATAGCCTTCTTCAGGTTCGCAACACCTTGTGGGTTTTTCAGGGGGAGCGCAGACAAGGTACAAAAAGTATCCATGCAAGGCTCCGTGCAAGAAGAAACTCATATGAAACCATTTGTGAGAACATCGTTTCTACGTACCAGACCCTCGTGTTTTCCCTCCCCCGGATGACCACTTTGTGACACCGACGACCGAAAACCCATTTTATGACTGGGCTTGACGGGCAGCCCAGTAATTAAACGTCTCCTCATTTCTCGATCTAATCTCCAAGCAGGCCAGACGGAATGCCGCTATAAGCGTGTTCTTGTTTACCTTAAACTCTTCGCCTCTTAAACTTAGGCACGCCGTCTGTAAGCCAGGAGGGAGAGGAAAGAGAAATCTACTGAAATATCCAAACAAAAACACAACATAGGAAAACCACAATTGGCTAGCTAAAACATGATCGATTAAAGCTACGAGTTTTTGTTTTGTTTTGTTTTTTTTCACTTAAAAAAGATCTCTCCACAAAATGCGTTCCTAAAAAACACATTTCAAGCAGAAGAGGATCGAAATGAACAGTCCGTAATTGGTTACGTACAGTAGCCAATGAGAAAGCAAGAATTTTCGATCCGCGGCGCGGGTACTAAATAAATGTCCAGGTCAAAGCTCAGCTTGACTAGACAGAACGGCTTACCGTTCTCGCCGCGACACAACAACTAGAGTTGCTCGTGTAAACGCAACTAAGCATAAAGCCAACCAGGCAACTGATGATGTTCGCGTGGAGAACCGAAACCATGGTCTTGCATGATCACAAAATAACAATAACAGAACAGTCGCTAGACTGTTAAACGTAACTACCAAGGGAGAAACTACGCGCTCTAGTCGTAAAACTCACGTTATTTTTAGAAAAAAAAACAAAAAAACATTTGGAGTTTAAAAATAATTGCTTAAAGAGCAATTTTGACTGAGTCACATCGCAATTCTCCATAGCTCATGTAGCTTCAGTTTAAGCTGCAATCCAGAATCCATTCTTCGAAATTTGGACTGTGTAAATCACTATCGGTGAAAATTTTAAATCCTGCAAAAAACACTAACCGAGCTGGGCACTGCGTGTCAAAACGTTGAAGTTATTGAACGAAACCATCACATTCACGGACAAAAGAATATCGCCCTTATCCATTTAGATCCAGAAGGCACTTTGAAAAAGATTAAACAACCTAAGACTATTATTTAACCGCAAAGGAAGAGATTTAAATTTCGAAAGGGGTCAAAGAAAATGCTCCTGCATCAGAGGGCAAATCAATATGCGTGTCAAGACCTCTCAGTATGAAACTCTGAGTGGCCAAATTCACATTCACTCAGTCAAAGCATAGAACCCAGAAACAAATTATACCCGCCAAAAATCGTTGGAACAAACAGCATTTGGGCACGAGGTAAAAGTCGTTTGGTTCCTAACGACCCCCTTTTTACACTCTGTTAGATGGTTTGATCATTTTGGCGGGATCACGGCTCTTTTGGCGGGTTTTCTAAATGCCCTTTGAATTATAATATTTTCGCGTCATTGTATGGTAATCGAGGATCTACACAATACCAAAGGCAAGTAAATATTTTTCTATTTCACTACTCAGTTTGCTTTTTCCTGCAACCACGATTTCTGTGTCGTTAAATCGACGGCCGCTTCAACAATCATGCGAGAGCCATAACAAGCTGCTCCTCAACCAGTTTAAACAATAAAATTCTCTCTTAGCTTATATCGTCGAACACAGCTTCTGTTCTTCGGACATAATGCCAACTTTTTTTTCATAATGAACTATTGAAACCATTTCGGCTACAATATGTAACTTACCAGGTAACGCACTGAATATTACTTTAGAGGGATGTTTGATTCGACCTTCCGCTAAGCGCTAGATTTTGCCATTCGCTTAAGTAGCGAAAAAAATATATTTCTTTTTCTCCAAGACTTAGCAACAAGACCCTTTTTAACACCAACCATGAACTAAATTATTTTAATTAAGCGATTTTGAACCATAGCTGAGTTATTAAAAATATCTCGCTCCGATGGTATAAATTCGGCGCGCAGAGGACAAGCTCTTACATTTGATGCAAATTTGTGCCCTGTCCTGATGAGTTTCAGGTGCGGACGGAGGATTTTGTGATCGAGGGGGCCTAGAGATATATTATAAAGTGGCAATACATCGATCAGGACTTCATGCGAACGGCGCACTTTTCCAGGGAGTTTCGTTTTTGAGACTGAAGTTCTCTGAGATGCCATCTAGTGAATTCTGGACGATTGATATTTTAGCAAATGGCTTGATTCCATATTGAACATGTAATGCTGAAATATTGTAGTGGTCAAAGAAGTAATTAACATTTTATGGTGCTAGCAGGGGCCGAAGCGGTCGCAGCGAGAGCACAATCTTCCGACAAAGGCCGCAACATTGTTTCCCTGAAAAACTGTCAAATCTAGTAGTTGGACGGATATTTACTGCATGCATTCTGGGAACTTTGGTCATTTGCGACTAAAAATGTGGGCTTCGAGCACAGATTCTTTTCTTATTAACAATGTTTATTAAAGAAAATATATTAAAGTAACAAAGCTCGAAGTGCCATCAAACACACGTTTACAAAAGAAAAACAAATTACCGGACAAAAGGGGGTACCGGGGCCCCCTGGGCCCACCCCTAAATCTGCCCTTGAGTTTATTGACAGATGAACAGACAGAAAGCGATTAATGAGCACACCTAAGGTGCACAATAAAATGTGCGAACTGATTACAAGAATGACGCCTTGTTGTTACTTGAGTCCATTTTGTGGGTATCTCCATGGAAATAAAGCATCTCTAGACCGGGATCGGACATTGCCGTTGCTCCTCGGAAAGGTACTTGCATTTTTCTACGCGCCTGCATTTTTCTTCGCACCAGCATTTTTTTTCGTACCAGCAGTACCATCTTCCGCAAGAGCTCCCCACTTGGCCTAAAGTTAAAAGAGACCACAAAACGAAAAGAGCATCGTTAGTTTGACGAACAAGATCTGTTCCTTTAGGCCGCGATGGGAGGGGAGACCCTAAAACGTTTCGGAATACACTTAATAAAGACGGTCATAAAAACAAGCTCAACTGTAAAAGACATTGATGAGTTCAAAATGAAATTAAATGTAAGATTTGAACACCCAAATACTTAGAGGAACGGCTGGTCATTTACTATGAAATGGCAGGGGAAAAATAATTATATGCATGTAAGTTTTTTCAAAATGTCTTTTTAACGAAAATACGTGCTTAGGACCCCTTCCAAAGGTTTTTTCTCTCATTTACTGATTCAGAACGAGTTTTGAGTCAAAACCTACTGTCTTTAGTAGCTTTTTTTTTTTTCATTCCTTTAGACAAATCTATCTTAACAAAGTTTGGGGTCCATAAAAGTTGCTTTGGCTACGAGATGCGATGTAATCTCTTTAATAATCTCTTTAATTACAACATGTCTTTATGTGTTTTATAAGTGTGCTACTTTCTCTAAGGATTTTCTTGGTATCTGTTTATTTGTTTTGTTTTGTTTTGTTTTTGTTTTTTTGTTTTTTACAGGACTCTGTTTAAATTAGCTCTATTCTAATGCTAAACCGATGTTCCTAAATAAATATATAAAATAATTAAAAGTAGCCTTCGGGCGAAAAAAACTTATTAAATAGAAAGTTGTCTGATAAAATCCAGAATTTGGTTAATACATTAATAGTCTTTATTATTCATTCAAAATATTTCCCTGATTCTGATTGGCTAATAGCACACACAATAATTCACCATAACCAGCAACTGATGACCAAATTTGGAAGAATTTTGCGATTAATGAATCGATGACGTCAAAAATGCAGCTTTTGTTGCAGGTCAATGCACCGTTAACTGAGAAGACCTGGAGACGAGGTTGAGTTGTTTTGGTTGTGAAAACAAAAATGGCGGACATTTCACTCGTTTCAAGAGTAAGAACTAGACGAAATAATAGCTAAAAACATAGCAAGAAGAGCAAGAAGGCAACTCCAAGCGCGACATTTGCTATTTGGAGAATATTTGCGGAGCTGAAGAACCCTAAACGTGCACTATCGAAGATGAACTTGGCACAGATGGAGGTAAGCATGTTTTAGCTACGTTTTTAAGGTATCTGCACCGGAAAATTTTCAACATTTTATTTTGCCCTAAAAATCTTTCTACAATTAAGTTCAGATTATGTTATACGCATATCTGGTTTTCTTTTTTGAATATACCTTCGCCTTTAAGAGAAAATCTACATAAAAGTTGATCGATTTACCGGAAGTTAAAGAAAAATTTTCATTTCCGTTACTAAGAAAAAAGACGGCAGGAGCGCAATTTGACTCCTCTTTTCAGCATCAAATTCTATTGATGCGCTCAACAAAATTTATTCACTGCTTGGATTCATTGACAAACTACAGCCGCTGTATGTCCAACTTGATTTTTCTTGCTTCTGTTGAAGCTGCGATGACTAATATTACTTGCTTCTTGTCAATATTCGTTATGTTTTTGAAATATACTCCGGTTTCCAGGGCTTATTAGTGTTTTAAATCTAAATTACACCGGTGTGTCTTCTCACCTGATATATTCTGACAATTTTGGAGGGAGAGTAAAACTTTTTCTTGGCCCCTATTCCTCTGGTCTGTTTTTCTGCCAATTTCTTTCACTTTACAGAAGCAATTCTTTTCAATTTTGAATAAAACTCTTCTTAAATCTTCATACTTCGGCGCGCCTCGTTGCAAAAACAGGTCCAAAAAAAGCTGACACTGAGTAACGCATCTTCCGGAAATGCGTCACACCTAGCAACTGGTCGCGTATCAGAATCCAAGGGGGCTATAGAGAGGTCATTTGGCATTTTTTAAGGCTTCCACGAGCAGTTTACACAGCGGTGATTCAAAATGGCGGGCAAGAAGGTCTGTGATGGTAGTATCGAGGAGAAACAGAAAATAAGCTTTTTAACTGTCAATCATATACGCCCATTAGGAAGCAGACTAGCATCAATACGTACGTTTAGACGAAGTAGTTTTCTCTTGAATCTCGTCAGATTCTTGCGCCGAATCATTTACTCGCTCAATGTCATTCAGTTCCGCAGGAGTTACCAAGAAGATTGGCAGCCCTTTGCACAGACGTTCCATCTCCTTACCGAGAACCTTGCTGTACATGTGCCGATTTAGTTTGCCAACTTTCTTTATGACTTCCTCAGTCTTCGATAACACCTTTATCTTAGAATTCTTTTTCACCTTAAGGAAGCATAAAAAAATACCGTGAAAAAAGTGAATGTGCATGCATTGATAATTTAAAGGAGAAATGGTCGGTGGTAGCTGATATGGTAAGTCTAAACGTTGACTTCTAGTGTATATTGCACACCCAGTTCGTCCTGGTACTACTACTGTTCGAAATTTTAAAATAAATATTAAAAAGGAAATTTAGAAGTTTGCCAAAAATTGTGTTTATAGCTTGTAATAAAAGGCAAATCAAATTAAACTCAATTTAATCCAGGTGCCGGGATAATTAAAAAGGTCCAGATATACGACCGGTTGTTACATATGTGGCGGCTAAAAAGGATCTGATGTGATAAGATAATAAATCTAAAGACCAGGTTAAATTTCTGGAAAATCACTTTTAAAGCAGTCAGCATTTGTATTGGGTTCCCACTAACCTGGTTTAATTCTTTTTCTGAGGCATTAGGTCGGACAGCACCATCTGTGGAGTTTTTTAAAAAACATTTTGACCCAGGCACATCTTTTATCATCATAAGATCCTACGCAAAATTTATCCTTAGTTAGTACAATGAATTATGTAAGTTTATTTTTAAGTTTGCGTGGTCACTTTATACAATAACAAAATAATAATAATAAAAATAGTAATAATAATAATAACAACAATTTTTTTTTAAATAATAATAATACTTTATTAAACTCTTCTCAAATTGAAAATTAAGTACAAATTTAGTATAACTATAGTTGAAAAAAGACTTCTTGGTGGTCTGGTGGTTTTCAACAGAGCAAATGTAAACAACTGTCTATAAACTAAAAAAAAAGAAAATTTCTATGTTCATCCCAATGATAAATATAATAATTATTAAATTTTACTATTTACAGATTCAAGAATATGAAATACTAAAATATATACCCTATGTACATTCTTCTTGTGCACGAAAGAGAATTGTCGTAAAATGACTATCTAAAGACTACTAATAACAATTATAAAAGGCATCAAAAAGTTAATAAAAAAACAGTGCGGATTCACTTGTTAAGTGACGTTTTCGGTTTGTTGTCATCAAGAAATTTTGCTACTATGGCAACGTGACGTAATAATAATAATTATTATTATTATTATTATTATTATTATTATTATTATAGAGAGGAGAAGTCGTTACGTCACGTTGCCATAGTAGCAAAATTTCTGGATGACAACAAACCGAAAACGTCACTTAACAAGTGAATCCGCACTTTCAAACTTCATAGATTTTATTCAATTTCATTTAATTTGTCAAATGTTGGCGAAATTACGGGGTTGAATCCCAGAGGATGGTATCTAAGTTTACAAAAAGGAAAAGAAAATTTTGGAGATTTAATTTAACGTGTTATTAGGTTTCATGTCGCAGTCGTGCAACGACGGCTAAGAAATGTACAAAAAAGCGTGATGCACGTGCAAAATTGTTGTTTTGCCAATCTAATACTATTGCTTTTTTGCCGTTCTCGTTGCCGTCGCCATCGTCGTTGCTTAAAAGCTCCCTTTTGTTGTTATCCAAAACTTTTTCTACCACGGTAGCGTTACGTCACACTTCTCCTCTGTATAATTATAAATACTAATTATAGTTATAATAATTATGATTATGATAATGATAGCAATGACAGGAAAAAAAAACATTCAGTAAATTCCTATCATGCCGCAAGACCTACAAATCTGATAAATTGAATTTTAGCAAATAGAGAGTATCCGCAAGTGGCTAAGGGGTTTTAATGTTAAGGATTTTAAGGTAAGGTTTTCCAAATGAAAAAATACGATAACAACATTTTAAAGTTAAAAATTACCAAGGACAAATACCTTATTGAAATCGTACATAATGACCAGCGTTGCTTTCTTGGCAGATTCAGGTTCACGCACAATGTACATCTCCAAGTTCTTCTTGACGTCGACTTTAACCTTTTCAGATACTTGCTTCCCGTTCCTTGATATCTTGAATGTACCGAAACCGGCCTATAAGAAAATCCCCAGGTTTATGAACGTTGATTGTGCATCTCATATACTGAGTTCAGAGGGAAGCATATTGTTCTTGTAAGAGTCCTGACGTCGCGTCTTTTTTGTGTTCAACGTTATTCCGACTTTCCGCAATGCTGCTTTTATCACGGGGAAATATTCATTTTGCAATCAAACTTATTGCAATCAAAATTTTTTTTTAATAGTTTTAGATTTCTTCTACAGTTAGACGACAATTTTGTACATATAGATTATTCTACAATTAGACTTTCCTCCTACAACAACTAGATTTTACCTTTTGTATATATTTTAAATCCTTATATTTTCCTAGGGTTGGCACTCTGCATGGGTCTGAGTGTCCTGTTCGTGCCCATGCCTTTTGGGCTTTAATTCTTTATGTTTTTATATTTTCAATTTTTTATTTTTTTCTATTTTATTTTTTCGATTTGATCTTGCCCAATAAAGCTTGACATAATAAATCATAATAATAGTATAACTTTTAAAATTATTTATATCATGGTAAACAACTCACTACAACTCTCACCCCTTCTCCAGTTCCAGTGCAAGAAATAAGAATCATCAGTGTGACCATCAAAAGCGTGCAGAGTACAAGTATCAAGCGAGTCATCTTGGATCCAGGCTGGTTGTCTTCAAGTGAACCTTGATGAAGCGATGCAGCTGCGACGCAAGGAAGCTCCTTTTATGCCAGACTCGCTATTGTGTTGAGAAACGGGAAACAATTTCTTGAAAACCGATGAAAATGTTTGATTGGTAGGACAACTTGACAGGATATTTTTCCGTTTCCGTTTTACACTTCCGGACTTGTACAAGTCTTTGACGGTTTATTTTCACAAACAAGGGATTACCTCAAAGATAAGAAAAAAAAACTGCTTCTTTGCTTCTTTTTTAATTTGATGATACGTACATATCCCCGGCATAGTCATAGTCCGATTGTGGAAAAGAATTGTGTGTGCAATATAGATTTGTAATAATTTTACTGTTAGGAAGATTTCAAGAATATAATCGATGAGGACATCACTCTAGTACCTCGTGATAGTCTTTTTAAATATATTATATTTTTATTAGGAATACTTATTATTAATGTAGATAGTCTGTGTCCCCCACTAGCTGTAAAGCTAAACACATTGACACGTAAATAAAGTTTTTACCATTTGATATAAAATCATGAATCGTGTCCACAAATCTTAAAACGGGCCTTATGAGGCGTACTACTCAAGCGACGTATATTCAAACAAAAAAAAATATCTTTAATGGCATCGATGCAATCACCTACGAAAAAACACCTAACAATGCAGCTTCCAAAGAATCATCTTGATAATCAATCTATTACATTTTTTGAAGTGTAATCCGTGCAATTCCAACACAACACTTAGCCACCCAACCTTCACATTAAGGTGTAACTGATCAGACGATTTCTAAGATATCTTGCATCACCTTTGTCAACTAAAGGGCGGAAGAAAAAATATAAAGTGCTCTATGCCTTTATGACTAACCAGCCAAATATCACCACCCATAAAAGATAAAACTAGACATTTAGGCTTCGCCAGATCGACTTTATAGTATACACTATACGTTAATTTATTAGTCAGCGTTTATTTGATCGATTCGTACGAACTCTAAGATCTTGTTGGGGAATATCATTCTTGTGCTGTCTTTGTATGGTCTCCTTCGCCGCGTCAAAAACTGAGGTTACGGACAAAATAAAACATGTACTAAGTAATAAAATAACCTGATTGGAACCCACGAAATGCAGCTAGCATTTTACAACAAATGAATTACCTCCCCCAAATCTACTTTCATTTTGGCTGTGTACGTGTAGGTGTGTTTTGGGGTCAAAAATGCTGTCCATTACAAATAGAGAGATTAGAAAAGTAGCACGGCCTGCCATGGTCGGCATCATGCCTTGTTAACATCGAAATTGCTTATTCTTGTTTTTCCTCTATGCTTCCGATTGACACAAAACATAAAAATAAACATATTTTTTTAAAACGTCACTCGAAAAAAATACCTGAACTCTATCGCTGGGACGGTTAGAGATGTGGTAGTTTACAGATAGACGGTTAATGAACTGAAAGTTATTGAACAATTCTCTTGCCACACAAGTCAAATTCAATTCTTGAAGATAACATATTGTTGTGTTAACGTGAACATTTGGTAGGCCGCAACTTGATGCCTTTTTCGTGATAAATAAGAATGTTTTCGGTTTTTATTCACTTTTCAGTTTAGCAGTTTAGAAGTATGAATATAATGAAAAGAAGGAAATGGACTCGTACTCCTTGGTCATGGGGCTTGCTGACATACAAGCGCTAACAGCTACTTGGAAAACATTGTTTTTACTAGCGGAAACTCCACTATATTTTCGTGAATTTTGAAATTCCTTTTCCAGCTTTATTTATTAATTTGGGTCACCGGAGCAAGATTAGCTCTTACTAATGAAAAAATCACTTGAAAGTAGAATTATATCAACTTTTTAGACTGATGTCGTGCAAGAAATGATTATTCAAAATTGATGGAGGTAACAACTTTACATTACTCAAAATAATGCTAAATGGGACTCTGAAACATTAGCGTTTAATTTATACGGCATTATTATATGACAAATTTATACGTGAAATTGAAGGTTTAGCCACTGTTTCAAAAATCACATATTACATTTTAATATAGAGAGAAATTCTGATTTACTCCGTTAAGTTGATTTAAAATTATAATAATTACATATATCAGCTAGACGGGGCTGGTCGATGGATCATGTTGTTTTCCCACCTTTCTTATTTTTCATATGCCTGATTTGCTGGCAAATAAAAATGAAACATTTCTGTGTATGAAATTTTTACCGAAAACAATAATTTTCACTGTTAATATTTCTACCACTTACCGTTTCTGCGAACTTAAGCACGGGTCATGATTCAGTAAGCAAGTAAAATGTCGAAAAAATCCTTCTCCTTTTATCCACCATTCACGACGGATTTATTACCTAAGGTAGCTAAATCAATAAAAAAGAAGTCTGTCAGATTTCAATTCCCGTCGATAAAAATGGAAAAAAAGGACATGAAAACATGTGCCTGACGTTATAATACCTTCAGCGTGGCCTATGACTATTTTGTCAGCTGTTTTGTTTTGACTCTTTAACAGGAGCTCTTTGGCTCCTGCTCTTAATGGATAACTGAATGCATTTGGTAATTCTTGCATACCGTTTTCCGTCTTTAAAAAAAGGGAAAAAATACTGCATTTTGAACTAGATGAAAGTAAACACAAATTCTAAAAAATCCAGTCATGTTTTCACAAGAAAGTAATTGGTTTTCTTCAGACCGTTTCTGTGTGTAATAACAAAATATTTTGCTGACAGCCAAATATTAAAACCATTTTATTTTCGTCCTGAAAATGAAACTCAGGACAGCGTTTCCGAAATATATTTATTCTTCCTCAGCGCAATTTTACTGACCTATGACGGTCAACTATACATCTCTTGTTAAGATTTCTGCATATTTAACAAAAATCAAGGCTGTATAAATTTCATTTAATCCAGCTTGTAAATAACTAGTTAGGGTATGTGCCAATGTTGGAACTCGATGTGTTCTTACACAGCTGATCAGATTTTTCTGTGAGCGTTATTAATGCGAATCTTGTATTTCAATTCAATAAAATAACTTTTATAGGTGTCTCACTCTTTCAGCCCAACAGTTTCCCCTTACTTGTTTCAAAAGAGAAAAAACTGGTCAATCTTAGTGGGCACGATGGCCAAAGCAGACCAGAAAATATGCCATGAGAAAAAACGGGTTTGTCAGCATGCTGCCAATAAAGATCTCCGGTTCAAGTCTCGGGAACAGGGAGGTACAGATAATTATGCACTGTACACTAGAAGAAAACGAGATGTCAAAGACATAAATTCAAATGGAAAATAAACACAGATTGAACATCTTTATACAAACCCTCAGTATATAATTAATGCAGTGCAAAAAGTCTCAGCAAAACTTGCTAAATTGGGACAAAGTTCATCTGTCAGACCAAGGAAAGGGGAGAAAGACATTATAAACAGCGTTTTTAGTTGTTCTTTATATAATGTACGTTAAAACCAAACTGTGACTTAGCACCTAGTTCTACATTAAAAATAAATAATTCCACTCGATATTTACAGAAGTAGAAGCGACCATTGTAACTATCCTCCACTTTCCCCCTACTGACTGAGGTAAATACAGTTTGTCGCAACTACAGGTATCACTAAAGATCGCAACTTTCAAATTTGAAGAAACAATTAACAATTAACAAATTAAGAACAAGATTATATGACAATAGTACTGCCAGTTTAATTATTCTTAACTTGCCCAAATATCGCTAGATACGAATATGAAAACATCATCTCAACGCAATGTGAGAAATTGGATGAAACTTTCAAGGATTTCGACTTCGTTTTCCAACCTCACCTGTTTAGGTACTGAAGCCGGATAGCCTGAAATGGTGTCAGTTTGATTTTTTCAAATTGGTGCATCTCTCGCAAATTAAATAAGAAACAACGAGGATCGAGTATTTGATGATTATGATAATTTTACGCTTCGATGCGAACACGTGGCCGACCGTACATTGTACATACACTATCAGTGTTATGAACTAGTTACGGATTATTCGTTTGGCAATTCTCGAATATTTCGCATTTAAGAAACTACAGTACCGTATTTTTAAGATAGATGGAGGAAGATGCCTGGCGTTAATTTTACTGACCTCACCGTTAACAAATCATTAAATCTACAAAAATGAAGTTCTCATCACAAAACGTATAAATGGCTTTTGTAGGTTATTTTTAACTCATAAGAAAAAAAATTATTCGCCGGCCGCCAAAAAACGATTTTTACTCTTGGAAGGAAACAACATTTCATAATAACTCTTTTTTCGCCCCCTGCAAAGTTCTAACTGATATAAGGACACTGAAGTCTCCGAATTTCGTTGTAAGTTTTTGCGGTTATTGATAATTTGATACAATTATGTTAAACTTGTAAACACTGCTTCACGGATAGGAGCTAGAAAACCAAATTTTGAATTAAAGAAAATAACGTTTGAAAAAGAGACCTGAACTTTTAGGTGGCGCAATCTGATCTCGTTAACGGGATATATGACGTTCCCTTCTTTCCAGCTTTCTCAGTTTAACCTAAGCTTCAAACTGATGTGGAACTGAAAACTTAAGTTAGTGATTTTAAGCGAGTGAAATGTCAAAAAAATCGGCTTCCCCTTTAATTCCCTCACGATTAATTACTAGAGGTATCTAAGCTGAAAAGAGGAAACCTAAAAGCATGCCAGTTTCTAATTCCCAGTGATAAAAAGTTATAATAATGGTGGGATGAAAACATGTGGAATTTATGCCTTACTGCCTTCAGTCTGGTTGACTAGACTGACGACTGTGTTGTTACGAACCTACGAATAATTTAGTTCATGGTTTTATAAATACTTGCGTGCAGTATTCCGTCTTTATATAAATTTATTTCGACATTGATGAAATCAATTGAAACAAACACTGAATTCTAACAAGATCTAGTAATGTCTTCACAGCGAGAAAGTAATTGGTTTTTGTCAGGCTATTCTTGTTGGCCATGGATCCCCGTTGTTTTTGTATGTCCTGTTCCGATAAATACAAAATAAAGTTGCTCCACGGACATTTTTCTATAAAGAGAATTAATTTTCAATATCGCTCCTTTCCACTATCTTCTTACTATTACTGACATTACTGCTTGACTTTCTTCAACGAAAACAACGTTAATTGCTTAAGTGCGGAGAAAAATTAACGTATTCCAGAGGAAAAGCTACTTTGCATGAGAAGGATAATTTCGTGGTGTTAGTCTACTTCAAAATGTTTATATATACTCCGTTCGACGGTACGAGTCTTAAGTCGGTTCGACTTAAGACTCTGTTTAGTGGTTTATTTTCTTCACGAGCTTCACTTTTTCACGATCACTTCAAGAAGTGAAATTTTAAATGCGCAATAGTTTCTGATCAATTTCTTAACAGATTTGTTTTTTTTTTGTTTTGTTTCCGTGTACATGTCTAAGCAATTCATTCTTTAATTAGTTTATTTATTTAAATTCAGTCATAATGTTTGCTCTCTTCGTGAAAAGGTTTAAACATTTTGCTGGATTAGTTCAATGGCGAAATAGATTTAATTCTTCCTTAGAGAAAAGATGTTTGATCGCAGAGGAATTAAGACAATCTTCCTTTAGCCTCCAGCGAAGTTAAAAACAGCTTGCGAAAATTTTCATGTTCATAATCTCATGCAAATTGACACTGAGTGTCTTCTTTTAGTTGTATAATTACATTTTCTCTTTCCATCTTTGCTGATCTGTATAAATCCATACGGGGTGTAAAAATATGCCCCACTCTCGCGAATTTGAGTTCATGATGATGGAAAGCGAGTGAAATGTCCATGCATGGATTCTTTAATCTTAAGAGTAACAAATATTTTCCTTTTAATTCACGTACCCTTCATGAGCATAGTCATTGTCGAAAATATAAAAAAGGTTTTAAAGAAAAGAACAAAAATAATTTAAGTAGCCTGAGTTTGTGTTAGATTGATTTTCACAAATGTGCTTCTGCCAAATAAAAAACAACGAGGAGTAACTAGTGTTGATGGGAGTTATGCTTCATTGCCAACAACGTGGCCGACCACACATAGACTATTGTTAAGAAGTTACAGGTCACTTAATTGGTAATTCTTGCTTATTTCTTCTTTAAAAGATCCTGGTGTTAATAGGAAGGCTATCCGTCGAAAAGTAAATCTAAAGAAAATGAGGTTTTCACCACAAAACCAAAACTGCTTTTAATTTGCAGACTTTTTTTAATTTATAAGTTGAATTTTCATTTTCTTTGCTGGCCGCCAAGAAATAATAACTTTTTCTACCCATGGAAGTGAAACAACATTTGATAAATACGTTTTCAGCCTCTGCAAAGTTTTACTGATATTGTACACTGAATTATCCATTTCGTGGTACTATAGGTTTTTGTGATAACGGCTAATAAATAAATAAGTATGATATAGCTGCTGTTATTAACAACTTGGTGTTTTACTGCACCACAGGCAGAACTGGCTAGAAAACCAGAAATTGAAATTAGACCAATTTAATAACCTTTAAAAAAGGCCTTCTATTTGCTATCGCACGCTTTTGCCCCTGCTGCTTTTTTTTGTGTCTGAAAGGAAGAAAAAATGGTCGAAATGGACTCGTACTCTTTGGTCATGGGGCTTGCTGACGTACAAGCGCTTAACTTTAATTGAAAACATTGTTAAAACTCGCTGAAACTCGACCATATTTTCTTGGATTTCGAAATTCCTTTTCTAGCTTTATTTATCAATTTGAGTCACCGGAGCAAGATTAGCTCTTAACTAATGAAAAATCACTTAGAAGTAGAATGATATTAACTTTTTAGACTCTGATGTCATACAAGGAATGATTATTCAAAATTTATGAAGATAATAACTTTACATTACTCAAAAGAATTCTAAAAGGAACTACATTTTAATATAGAGAGGAATTCTGATTTACTCCGTTAAGTTAATTCAAAATAATAATTACCTCTATCTAGATAGTCGATGGATCACGTTGTTTTCTCACTTTTCTTATTTTTCATATGCCTGATTTGCTGGCAAATAAAAATTAAAATAAAAAATAAAACTCGCGAAAAATTTCAGTGTATGACATTTTTACCGAAAAACAATAATTTTCACTATTAATATTTCTACCACTTACCGTTTCTGCGAACTTAACCACAGGTTATGATTCAGTAAGCGAGTGAAATGTTGAAAAAATCTTTCTCCTTTTATCCACTATTCACGATGCTTTATTACCGAAGGTAGCTAAATCAATAAAAAAGAAGTATGTCAGTCAGATTTCAATTCCCCGTCGATGAAAATGGAGAAAAAAAGGACATGAAAACATGTGCCTGACGTTATATTACCTTCAGCATGGCCTACTAGACTACGTTGTCTGTTTTGTTTTCATTGACTCTAAACAGGAGCTCTTTGGCTCCTGCTCTTAATGGATAACGGAATGTATTTGGTAATTCTTGCATACAGTGTTCC